TCCCAATGCTCGTATCCTCATTATGTTGTTTCTTAAGTCAACGGCACACGATACTATTTTCCCTACTGGATTGCTTACGAGAGCCAATCAGGATTTAACTTTAAGCCACCTGATTTAAAGCCAACGGCACACGATACTATTTTTCCTACTGGATTCCTTACGAGAGCCAACCAGGATTCAGCTTTGAGTCACCTGATCGAAAACTCTGCGTCCTGATTGGCTCTCGTAAGCAATCCAGTAGGAAAAATAGTATCGTGTGCCGTTGGCTTATAACTCTGCATCCTTATTGGTTCTCGTAAGTGATCCAGTAGGAAAAATCGTATCGTGTGCCGTTGGCTTTAGTAACGAAACAAATAGGTAAGCGTGATCGGGCGTGATTTATAGCTCTATTGATAAAATAATGATAAAGTAATAAAACCGCACTTGCCCTAGCGGAAGTTCCTATCGCGAGAAATAAAACGACACTGGCTTCCGTTAATGCGTGGATAGGGGAGCGGTATATTTTATACTATAATCAGCTGTATGGGGTATATTAATCGTTATTGTTACTTAGATACCGCGCGCGATTGACGTACATTGTTCTTTTCATCAGTATCGGCCAATCATGTTCATAATATCCGCTAATATCAATTTGATTTGCTTAATTAGCTACAAAATTAACTGCAAACCAAATAACAATTGTTACTGGCAACTTAAAGAGATTTCTATGTTCAAATAACAATAGCACCGATAAATTTCACCGGAACAGTACACAATGGTATGGAACTCCATAGAGGGACGACTATAAAATAGATTTGTTAAAAATTACACTTCTTATTTCTAATGAAAAGAGATTTGTCTGCGTATACCTGGCTTCGTGCTTAATTTAATAGCTGAATTGCGCGGTTGCTCGCTTTAGTAGAAACGTCACGACTGACGCACCCTCGGAAAGGATTTCTGTCACCGAGACAAAAAATATTCTTGACGCATTTATATTTCTCACAACTTCATTTAGTACAAAAATAAGACAATGCCAAAACAAAATCAATAATTCTTATTCTCCTCTATCGAATTAAAAAAGATTGACTTGCTACATTGAGACAAGAGTAACTCATATGGATATAAGTTTTCTCGCGTTTGGAACAAATTTTCCTCCATCTTACAACGCACGAAGTTGGCACCACGATATTCGACAAAAGACGATTCTAGATTTTGGAATTTTTCATTTAAGATTAAAATATTCCTTTCTCTATAATAAATATGATTTTGGCGCTATAGTGTAATAGCATTGAATCCGGAAATTTTTTTCTGTGCGTGCGGGAAACTAAAGAGGCAAGTGAGAAATGGACGGATGACCAGTAGCGTTGGCAGGGCTTGTACATTGCTTTGCTACGTCGAACGAGCGGGGCATTGCGTAAATTATCGACCGTTGGCTCGAAGATTAGAGCGATGGAGATTTACGTATTTATTCAGATAACTGCTCTTTCACAGCGTTCCGCGGAAAGCGATAGAGAGCGATGAAAGAGAAACCGGGAGGAGAGGGCTCGCACGCGCGTTTCTTTTACAGTTCCGTCGGAGTGATGGATGGGTTCTTCGGAGAACCGCCGTCGATAAATCATCGATAACTGTATTTTTTTAATAGTCTCTCTTTGTTTTCGCCATTACGCCGACAACGCCTCTCGCAAAATTGCGCTTGCGGCGGCGTCAGGTCCGTTGTCTCGTAAAATGTACGCGCCCATGGACGTCATTACCGCGTAATTAACACTCTCCCCCCTCCCCCGCTCCGTTCCCCCCGCGTAATGAGTCGGAGCATGAAAATTTGCATGTGAATCTTGCTGCCGACATACCGCAAAACCGCATCCGCGAAGTCATTCTCCGCTCCGAGCTGTGCGCGCACGAAGAGAGGACCGGTCCGCGCTGTCCGTGCATGTGCGATGCGTGTCGCGTGAGTGCACCTGGCAGCAGAATTGGGTCGCGTGTCACGCCCGTCATCGCCGTTTTGTAAACGTAAGAGTGAACCTCCGACCGTGTGTGCCTGCAACGCGGACGATAGTGGACTCTCGCTGCTGTTCGTCTATGTGAAAAAAAAACGATATTAGTTATCGGTTGTTGATTGAATACCGGCCTCCGGTAGAATAATTCCGGGACAGATAGCCATACGAGGAGAGAGAGACGGCCATTGTGGATTCTCCGGTAATTGCCGAGGCGATATGCATGAGTAGTTAGTATAACGTCATGGCGATTGATTGGAATTGTTCGCGATTAGCAGCACTTTAGAGCGGATATGTTAATACGTTTTTCTTCCTCTCTGTTTAAGATTATATTTTTCAATTGAATGTAAAGATCGCTTCGATTCAGTTACGAGACTTATGCAATTTATAAAAATGATCGAAGAGCTATTTTCGACGATTTATTTTGAAGAATCCGCTCTCAAGTTTTTTCCTTGATGAAAAAAATTTTTTCCAATTTTTTTAAAAATCGCGATCGTCGGTCAAGATTTTAAACCTTGATTATGCGTGGAACTGAAAATTTTTTTACTTTGAACGGTCTAAAAACTTAAAGTTTGCTTTTTAAAATATTCTGTTGGAAGTTGAGAGTATTTTCACCGATGAATTGTCGCGATTTGAAATGGTCAATATATTTTCCACTTTTGATTGCTAGGAATCGTCTATGGCCCGGTTTCACCAACGTTGCTTAACTTTAGGCTCAGCCTATTTCGTTCTTTGTCTTCTTCCCACTGTTATTCAAGAAAAAGACAAACATGAATTAAACTAAGATTAAAGTTAAGCAACGTTTGGTGAAAACGGGCCTAAATTACACGCAGACAGTCTTAGAAATTACGTGCTTTCTCTAAATCGTAGATGCTACGAGGAATAATAACAGTTTAAATATATCACGGTGTAAGTTACTAAATTATATGCAGGCGAAAAATGGTGCGATTTATATTTTAGAGATGCATCCGGGTAATCATACGTGCTCCAATTAATTTTAAGTAAAATTATGTGAACGCGTTTCTAATCTGATCCCATAACTTTCGCGGACAGTCCTCTCGCAGATCCAAACCGCACTCGCGATACATCTCGCCTTACCCGCGTGCGGACCGAGTCCACGTCGCGTGGCATCCGCGGCGGACGCGTACCCGTTCGGGACAAACGCGGCACGCCGTCGCTTCTCGCGTGCGCACTAATTGATCGTATCTCCGCGCGCGTCTAATAGCGCCAAGCGCTTTTACCGGCATCGGCGTAAAGTCGGCGCAGCCCGCGGGCAAGATCGTGGACGGCGTATCCGCGTCCCGATTTCGCGGCGGATCAATTTACCCAACAAGAGCGAGGACGCGATAAAGTTGAACCGTCGCGCGGGGCCGCGCGAACCCGCAATTAGCGTCTCCGGCGAAACGTCTTATAATCGCTTAATAAGCGTCCGTGCGCAAACAGCGTCCGCTAATTGGGTACACGCAGGGCGTCGCGTGGCCGATGGTTAGCGCGAAAACTATGAGGCTTCCCAATACGACGCCCGACACGGCATCGTGGGAAAACTCGCCGTAACCGGTTTAACGACCGGCACTAAACGTCCGCAGGTGTAAACGATAAACTTTTTTCGCACGTTTCGGAGAATGGTCCGAGCCGCTCGCTGTTAATGCGTCAGTAGTAATCAGCATTAATTATATTGTCGTCGATCTCCGAGAAACAAAGAAGAAAAAGGAGGAGAGGGAGAGAGAGGGAGAGAGCGTGCCGCGAGAAAAGGTAAATTGACCGGCGTTGATTTATGCTTGATTACATTTCCCGCGAGATCTCCGGCGCGCAGTTCTGCATAAGTGAATGCGCTTTGACGAGACGCCGCTCGCGCTCGCTTACTTTCGATTATTTCTGCGCCGTCATGAATGAGACGTCCGGTATTCGCGCCGGCTACTCGCGGTAGTAACGCTATTTAAAATGCCGACGTGAGATACATATTATTCGACGTGTTACTCACGAAGGTAGAAAGTGCTCCGTCGAGCGCGTGATGCATCGCGATGCGTATACGCTCGAGAAGAGGCGAATACGCGCGCGTTCACCTTTGCCGGTCTCTGACAGAAGGTGACGAGGGTTAAAAGGTGGAATTAGAGGGAGCCTTTCAACCGGAGGTCAAGCTCGCGGGCTAGCGCGGTCCAATGTTCCCTTCTGCATGCGTGCATACGCACGTGCGTGATGTACGCGCTCGCTATCGGGCCACCGATGCGCGCACGCTTCCATCGCGATTAATCGATAAACGCGCTTCGTTTCGGTAGCGAACGCGCGCGCTTCGATCGATCTTTGTATCTCGTAAAGCGGATATTAATCGTAGAGACGTATTTAATGGTTCGATGAAGCATGCTGGCATTATTCATCCTACACGGACGTGTTTTTATTTTAATAGTTCAGCATGACGTGCACGTTTGTTTAGCAGGAATTGAACGTCGAGCGCTGCTACTCGAATGATAATACGCCCAAGTTGTACAATTAATTATTTTACGTTTTAGTATTTAGTGTTTAATTGTCAAGATCTTAACACATCATACATCAAACGGGTATCATAATTTATCGTTAACGGTAAGACAGATTTCTTGTGAGGAAAGGAATAAAACTTTCCTTTTGACTCACACTTTTTTTCTTGTCGATGAAATATTCCTATAAAGCTTAATAGAAAGATTTTACGCGGAAATCTCAAGATAGAAAAAAATAATCCAAACCATAGAAAGATTTTATTCGATACAAAACGCCTTCATGAATTTAGTTATGAAATTCTCAGTCAATGTTCGATTCATAATAATAGAGCAATTACCAAATCTTATTTGGGGACGAACGAATCTGGTTCGTTGAATGAATCACGTCAAGATTCGTTCAGCCGTCAAGTTCTGTCTGGCTGACCCTGCGTGATATTGGATCCAATTATCGATGCTGCGGGTATACAATTCAGCTGTCAAATTAAAATGTAAATGCGGCTAAAGATTATTCTCGGTGTCGCGGATGTGGTGGTAACAGGATTCTTCGTTTCGGTTTCAGGAACCAAAAAGCGAATCGACGAAGTAACGTCACCAAGGACCATCCACGACTTGCCGGATCACGTTCTCACATGTGGCCTGTCACTTCCCGGTAAGTATTAAAAGGATACAAATCTCCTTCCGAACAATGTCAATGCAACGAAGATACGTTTACTCGTATTTATTTGACATAACAAGAGTATATAGACTCGTAATATAGAGTGTCGAAACTCGTCAAGAAAGCGAAAGGCTTTGAAACGACAAAGTTTTGATGATTGCATACTCTCAACACTTATTAATTAAGTGGAATGTTTTAAAAAGTCGACCAAACTGGCAAAATTTCCGATCCCTTTATCGGGTCCTTTTCAAGTACAATCTGGATACATTGTAAGTGCTCAAGCCGCAATATAGAAAAAGAATTCTTTAGTATGTATACAGGGTGTCGGATTCGATTTGGACGACTCCAAAGATTATAGTAGATTGGGTCAAGCTGAGAAGAAAAGTTATATACCATTTTACAAAATTCGTAATTATTGTCGCGTAATTAAGAAAAACGTCTGAGCCAATAAGTGCACGGAGGAGCTGAAGGCCGGACTCGGCAGACATGCAAAATGGTGTATTATTCTCCTACCACCAGAAAAACTTTTTCGGCGCGGTGTCATATGTCGCGCGTTCGCTCGCTGCGCGCCGTTCGCCCGCTCACCGCTCCCCGCTCGCCCCCGTCTCTCATCGATCGATGCGTGACTCC